ATACCTGCTGAGTGAAACCCCTTCGACGGCACCTTTCGTTGTAAGAGCTGTCTCCCGGGAAAAGGGATAATGGAACTTAGAAAGGGGATAGCTTAGTGGGAGTTGTCCCATTATGTTATCCCAAAAAGTGTTAATGGTATATGGATGAAAATTGATAGGCAAAATTACTATGAAATTCTGAACTTGAATATAAAGGAGTGACCCCGGGTGACCTAGGAGGGACTTTTAAAATACATTTGGACGTTTAGGACCAGAATCGCATAGCAAACTCAAGCCACAACCCTTGGGAACGAGAATCGGTCCCTCTACTTATAATTGGGAAGAAAACTATCTCTTGTGAAAAGAAGCAGAACCTGAAAGGCATGTAGCTTATACATAAAAACATTGAGGTAAGGAATTAATTAAAGTGGACTTGGAAAACATTGGTTTCAACAAAGCTTGGCAAATGAGCTAATAATAGAAACTCAATCAGACTAAAGAGAAGTAGTCTCAGAGGAAACTGGCAGTAATAGAAGCATATCATGGAATTAGGTCTCCTAAATAACATGAATGGGTGGGATATTCACTCAATTTGCAGGTGACTTTTTGACTTGTTTTGACCCCCCAATAAGCGAAAGCGAATTACCTTCCTCTGATAGCTAGAAGGTCGGAATTTGAGTAGAGTATAGATTAGAAATTCAGATGCTTGGAGCGAATTATCGATCCAAAAAAAAGTGACTTTCTATATCTCGGGAGGTCGGAACGTTAATGGAAAAACCTAAAAAACCCTGGGAGATTGCTTTATCAAATATAGCTCGGTTTAGAGGTGAAACTCGAATTAATGTTTGCACAGCCTAGTTAAATATACCTATAATGAACTTGGTACTGAGGACTAGTGTCATCAGATGAATAATTCAGTTCAGAACTTTCGAAAGGTTTACTAAAGTAAAAGTCAGCACTTGCAGGGACGACATAACTATAGCCATAACTAAACTCAAACAGACAAACATTATAGAGATTAACAAGCAGCCTAACCCCTAGGCCTAATAATTGATTCTGAGTAAAAGTTTTGTTCGCTCGCAGTTAATAAGAGAAAACAGGGATGGCGAAGTTAGTGAGGTAGTTGGCTCTCAGAGTTGGAGAAAAAGAAATTGAGAAATTAGAGAGATCAGTTAAAGTACCCCAAGGGATTAGTAATCCGTAGAGACACTATTAATTTTAGCAGATCGAATTGAGCAGTTGTTTGGAATTACTGCATGTAACTCTTCAGTTGGAATTCTGTAGAGACAGAAAATCATATAGTTAGGTTAGCCAGGAGTTGAATAGTAATTAGGAAATTTTGCTGATAAATAGTGGACTCTTTCCTTTGTTTAGATTGTAAGATATCATTCTGGCCACTTATAGCATTCTGTTTTTGGAATTATATTATCTGAGATCAATTACGATTAGAAATTCTTGCGATAATGTCGAGCCCAAAGAGCAGTACACTAAATGGGTAAGTAACAGAACACAGTACAGATTACTTGACACCAATTTAAGCCTTTTGGGATTGTGGATAGCAACGAATCTCGATCGCCCCGCTGAATTTATTGTCTAGGGGACCACTTTAAAGTGCCGTTAAGTTAGAGTGTGTGAAAGGACCTAGAGAAGCAATGCCCTAAACATACAGTTCGATCACCTTTGAAAATATTGTTGGCTAGTACCAGCCTGCCATGCTGTGGCTGTCATTAAGCCAAAACAATTTTTGTGTGAGAAATAACTTAGAATTGAGATGGTTGACGTATTTATTATATGCTTCTGAAACGTGCGTTTTGCAATTTTTTAAAAATTATTTTAGACCGAATTTTCAAGATTATAAGGTCCAAGTTCGCCAAGGTGTTCTGAAAAATGTTTTGGTCATGTTTTTTCGATTGGTTAGAACTGACTCAACAAGAAAAACTACACCGAGCTTATATATTCCGTTTTGTTTCGAAAGTCGAATCAAAAAAATAACGTAAAAAAAAAAAATTTTAATTTAGATTTTTGAGAAAATCATCCTCCCACACGCGCGAATTATATCGCGCGTAATTTGTCCCAAATTGGCCAAAATGGCAATGTTTAAATTGTCATAACTGTACGAGAAATGACCACAGGTGAAATATCTTCTCAAATTCAAGCTCAAGGTAACAATATTTTTTGATTCAAATAAAAAATTCCGTCAAAAATGGGTAGTTGAAAAGTCGCAATTTGTCTCAAGAAAAAAAACCAACAGAGCGTAAATATTCCGTTGCTTTCGTTACGAAAGTCGGAACAATTATTCACTGAATGAAGAAACATCGCTAGCAATTTGGGGACTGCTTAACTTGGGGCTCAACCGTACAATCTTTCCCCTCACCTTAGTAACCATCCGTAGAATTTCCCCCTAGCCGCATATTAAATTTGAAAATTATTTCTCTATAATGTATGCATTTCAAACAAACGCGCTCATAAAATTATGTGTCACAATTTTTATGTGGGATTGCATTTGAATGCTGTTATTGACCTTGTAAATTAATTCTCAAATTAATATCCTGAAAAGCGCTTGTTTTCTCCCCCTTAATCAATTTGGAGTTAAAAAATCCTTAGAAATTGAAAGCAAATTCAAAAAACTCGAAAAAGGCCTAATTGGAGAAAAAACAAAAAGTCACAAGAACGGTAACACGAAGCAGGACGTACTTGAGGAGTCAGAAACGCAGGCGAACAAAAAGACCTTTAAAAAAGCCGACCGTCACAAACAACAAATCTAGTATATTCAAACCAGGATTTTGAGTTGGAAAGCTAGCGGGAAACATCTGTGAAAGAAAGAAAGAAAAAAAAACAAACGGAAAACGACTGACGTGACAAAGATGGGATAGATGATGAAAAATAAAAAAGATCAAAAGATTTTTGCGTTTCAGAGTTTAGATTAGAAATTCAGATGCTTGGAGCGAGTTATCGATCCATAAAAAGTGTCTTTCTATACGCCGGGAGGTCGGAACGTTAATGGGAAAATTTAAAAAACCCTGGGAGATTGCTTTATCAAATATAGCTCGGTTTAGAGGTGAAACTCGAATTAATGTATGCAGAGCCTAGTTAAATATACCTATAATGAACTTGGTACTGAGGACTAGTGTCATCAGATAAGTAATTCAGTTCAGAATTTTTGAAAGGTTTTCTAAAGTAAATGTCAGGACTTGCAGGGACGACATCACAAAACTCAAACAGACAAACATTATAGAGATTAACAAGCAGCCTAACCCCTTAGGCCGAACAATTGATACTGAGTTAGAGTCTTGTTGGCTCGCAGTTAAAAAGAGAAAACAGGGATGACGAAGTTAGCGAGATAGTTGGCTCTCAGAGTTGGAGAAAGAGAAATTGAGAAGTTAGAGAGATCAGTTAAAGTACTCCAAGGGATTAGTAATCCGTAGAAACACTATTAGTTTTAGCAGGTCGAACTGAGCAGTTGTTTAGAATTACTGCGTTTAATTGTTCAGTTGGAATTCTGTAGAGACAGAAAATCATATAGTTAGGTCAGCCAGGAGTTAAATAGTAATTAGGAAATTTTGCTGATAAATAGTGGACTCATTCTTTTGTTTAGATTATTAGATGTCATTCTGGCCACTTATAGCGTTCTGTTTTTGGAATTATATTATCTCAGATCAATTACAATTCGAAATTTTTGTGATTATGTCGAGCCCGAAGAGCAGTACACTTAATGGGTAAGTAACTGAAAACAGTACGGAACACTTGACACCAATTTAACCCTTTCGGGATTGTGGATAGCAGTGAATCTCGATCGCCCCGCTGAATTCATTGCCCAGTGGACCACTTTACGGTGCCGTTAAGTTAGAGTGTGTGAACGGACCTAGAGAAGCAATACCCTAAACCTACAGTTCGATAACCATTGAAAATAATGTTGGCTAGTACCAGCCTACCATGCTGTGGTTGTCCTTGGGCCAAAACAGTTGTTGCGTGAGAAATAACTTAGAATTGAAATGGTTGACGTATTTATTGTTCGCTTCTGAAACGTGAGTTTTGCAATTTTTTTAAAATTATTTTAGACCGAATTTTCAATATTATAAGTTCCAAATTCGCCAAAGTGTTCTGAAAAATGTTTTGGTCATGAAATTTTCATCAGTTTGAAATTTACTGACTACCTTTGTTTGTACTTTATAGGAAAGGTTCGTTTAAATATTCTTGAACATTTTTGATTTCGCCCTTGAATTTTAGGATCTCAAAATTATAACCACGCGTCTTGTAACCGAATATTTACAACCCCCTACACTTCAAGCCTGTATTAAAAAATAATCAGGTCAAAGTATTTTGCAACTTCTGAGCAATGCCCGTTGCGAAAAACGATTTAGATTTAAACCAAAATGAGTTTGCCGATGGTCAAGGCTTTGATTTGAACTTAAATAGTTAACCGAATGACATGATTGAAGTTAATAACCGAAACTTGTAAACGGAATAAAACTAGCGCTTAGCTTAATTTTCCCAGCGCCACGAAAAAACGCAAATCAGTTTTTTTCATAGTAAATAAACATAATTATTTGCATTTTTGTTATTTTTCGAAAATTTGAAACATAATACTTCATATTTAGTTTTTAGACACTTTTTTTGACCCATCAGATTTTAGGCTTATGAGACAACTTTTCGCCAAAGTGTCTAACAAAAATTTCGGGTCGTCTATCATTTCGGGTCGTCTAACAAAAATAAGCCCACAGATTAAACTTGAGCATTAAGTTCAGTGAAGTTAACAAATATTCTTCAATTTAAATTTTTTGCTGCGTTTAGAAAGGAGTGCAGCCTGTATTTAGACAACCGCGTATTCATGCTCGTCAGTATTTAGACAAATACTGTACGAACCAATCAGAATAGAGAAAAGACATAAATAATCCAAAATAAATAATAATTATTTATTAATTTCTTCTTTGTCTCGATTCTGATTGGCTGAAACAGTATTTGTCTAAATACTGACGAGTCTGAATACGCGGTTGTCTAAATACTGATATTTAACCGTTTAGAAAGTAGGAACGTGGGCGATACTTGCGGACTGCGACGAGTGCTACTACAAAAAGTACGGCATTGACTGGTCAAAAATACTTGAATTTGGACTCAAAGTAGGTACGCCTATCATTTGTGGCATTTTCTACTTCTTTGTTGTAAAAGAGCTTCTGTCCACGAAGAGAGTTGCCAACAGGAAGCTGGAGGAAACCAAACTGATGTTGGCTAAAGCGTTCGGACTGATGTCTCTGGCGTTCTTAATCTTCGTGTTTCCGAGTTGTATCGTGCAGTTGGCGATGACGATTTACGAGCGTAAACACATTCAGTCAAGCATTATTGTTATGGGAACTCCAGAACAACTGGTTTATGAAAAAATAGAACTTTCTTCAGCAGCAATGACATATTTCCAGAGTTTTTTCTTCTTCATCAATTCAATAATTCTGGTCGCTATTGTGAAACCCTTCCGAGAGCCACTGGAAACGAAATGGGACAAACTGAAGCAATGGTATCGCAACAGAAGGTCATCTGCAGAAGAGGGGCAACACGTTGCTGCTTAAACAATTTACCCCCCAAATACTCCCCCACTTTTTCCTTCATTTTTAAACTGCATTTTATGTCACCCCGGTTGAAGTTGCGTTGCCGTTCAGGAAGGTACCCCACTTTTGTCTCAGTGTCTTTGATACATATAAGGGATGCCCGTCGGAAATCATAATTTTATTTTGCTAAAAGTATGCACATCAGTTTTGCATTAGTTATTGATGGAACTTGAGTCATATTGATGGAATATTGATGAAACATCGATTGCACAGCTTTTCTGACGCCTTTAAACTTTTAATAATTTTTATCTTCCTAAATTTCTATGATCACAAGTCATTTTAGCTCAAGTCAGCTTGACCCAGCTCAACTTATCCTTCTCCACCTTTTCCTTACCTATGGCAAATTGTATTATACTAATTTGGCTCATTATACCTTAATGAATTAAAACTTACCCCAGATTGTTTGATAACTTCGTAGAAGATACTCTGTCGGCGTGAAAACAAAACAAAACACTTTTGCTGAACAACAGCTTGAAGAAAAATGCGCAGTCATTTAAACAAGCGCTGAATCAAAATGAGTTCACTGAACAAAAATTTGTCGGCAAATTGGTTTATTTCCTGGCCTGAATTTTTGCAATTGTATTATAAATAAAGCCAGGTCTTTTCTCAGATCAAAATTTTACTGACAAAAAAACTCACCACTTTTTTACATTTCTGAAGGAGAGGAAAGCGCGCGTGAATCAGCTTTTGGTGCAGAGAAACAATCTGGTTCTTTTGGTGCTTATTGACGAGGACTTATTGATGTCCAATAAAGCCAAAAACAACCTAAAATAGCTTGCAAACTTTCGTTCGTAATGCTATTGACATCACAACACAAATATGCTCATATGTTGATGATTGGCGCAACATATAAGTGTGCGCCAATCAGCATGTGGCAATTCTTTTTTACTTATATAATTGTTGAATCGCAAGAAACCATTGTACCAAAAAAAAAACGATAAAGAAAGGAAACCTTTATGCATCTATCCGACTTATATGGGCTGGAAGCGAACACTGAAAAAACATCCCGCTATTAAAATTGATTCAAACAGATTTGAGGTAATCTAATTGACAAAAGAAAACCACATAAGATTCAAATTGTAACACTATTACTTGATATCGGCTGTTTGGCAAAACTCAAACGCAATCTTAATTGTAAAGTTACCCATTAATCTAAGTAACAACAATCCAAGTTCTAAAGTTACACATCTTATTATAGATTATAAAAAATCACTTTTTCTCAAGCAATGCGCAGAACTACATTACAAGGCCAAACAATGCACTAAATAGGCGCATAATTTTTTGTGTCTGTAAGTTCCTGGATTCCGGAAACCAATCTTTAAACATGTTCCAAACTGTAAGTGGATTCCATTAACAAAATTTCCATGGATTCAGCGTACAAATGAGTGTAACGTAGCGAAAATAACTAATTGTTCTGGCTTCAGCAACTGTAACTGGGTTTCAAAAAATTTTAGCGGAATCCGCAACTGTAAGTGTATTCCGTAAACTGCAAGTGGATTCCGAACTTTTCTCATTACTAAACTTGCATATGAACAATTAAAAGCCGGAGCTTGAATTATTAAATTTAACAATGCGGAATTTAAAAGCAAGGACTTAACCATTGTCAGCGGAATCCACAAGAAATCTGAAACCATGGTCAGCTAAATCGGTGGATGTCATCTTTTAGTATTTTTGATACATATCCCGGCGAACAATTTTTGAGATCATAGTTTTGCAACACAACACCGAAAAGTTTCACAAATGGAGTCATTCGGTTAAGAGTGATTAGAAACACAACGCACACCGTGTTGCCAAAGTAGGTTAGTATTTGAGATTTTATCGATCCCGAACACTGATCTAGTAGATTCTTATTCTAATGAAATCAAATCATGTAATAAAAAGATAAAATTTTATATGGTACTACATATATACATAGATGTATACGAAATCCGCAATTACAATGCGGATTCTGATGACAATTTTCGGATTCCACTTACAAGTTGCAGGTTCCGCTTACAGTTGCGGATTCTACAGAAGCTCAATTAAACTATACACATGTCTTATTGTTTTTCGTGGATTCCACAAACATATCTGGATTCGCAAATCACGTTACAAATTCCGCAATTTTGTTTTTTTTGTAGCAATTTTGAGCGGTACAGTTTTTTAGGTGTTTCTTTGTGGAATCCATTACCGCAAAGAAGAACAAAGAAAAGTATCAATGATGTGGATTCCGCGACAAATCTGACTTTGGCCTGTTGTGGAATCCGCTTACAATGCACAGAATGCACAGTTTAGCCTCGTAATATACTTAAAGGCAGTCCAAACATTAAGTTTTGCCCTGATACCAACATCTTTGTTGATGCTATCAACTGAAAACACGCTCTGTGATAACAACCTTAATTTTGTAATCGATTTTAAAACTGCAACTTTTGATGTAACATAACTTTTTTTTTTTAAATCATCAAATTGATTTGCAGCTGTTGAAATTAGTCTGATTTTTCTAATACATTGAAGCAATATGGAAAAAATGATGTTTGTTTAATCTCAATAAAATTTCTGAATTGGTCATTAAAATACAAAAAAAAATTCAAAAACTAAAACTTTTATTATAACTTTTTTAAAATTACTTACAACTCACGAGTTTTCATCTCCACGAGAAAAATTACAATTTGAAGTTGTTTTTTTTTGTGTAAGGAATCGTACAAATTTTACTATATCAACGGAAAAAAAATTCAAACATAGAAAACAAAAATATCAGACAAACTCTCAAAAACTAGAACTTTTTTAAACTTTTTTCTAAAATTAGCTTCAATTTCCCAAACTTCCATCTCCAAGAACCAAATTAAATTTTGAGTGCTTTTTTTTCGGTGGAATAAAACCTACGAATTTTACTATATCAATGTAGAAAATTAGGAAACAAAACTTGCTTAGGAAGATAGTTTTTCATTTTTTTTTTCGAAGCTATGGAATAAAACTCTCTTGGCATTTTTGAAAATGATCTATAATTTCTTCTAAGCAGTAGCATCCTTCTTAAACCTAAAAGAAAAGAAATCTTTATCTCCAAAAGCGAAGTTAAAACTTTAGGTGTTTTTTGGTGTCGTATGAATGATTTTTACCTTTCCTAGTATAGAAAACACAAAACTAAGAAAATACATTTTATTCTTATTTTGAAAGAGGAGCGCACGCCGCACAAATGCAATTATCTGGACAGAGTTTTTCCAAAAACGCCCTGAAAACATCATTTGTGGCCTTATTTTGAAAAATTTGATGGCGGCGCAGAAAGTTAAGTAAAACGTGGAGGAAACTTCGGGAAATAAAAAAAAAGTGCGCTCGAAAAAACTCCTGGAAATGCTTGTCGCAAGCAACTGCTCTCAACGAATGATGATTAATCGTTTTCGATTTCCTGTTTGTTTTACCAATCAAAAAGTTTTCATTCAATCATTGCGAGGCGAAATCAGAAATTAACGTTCACATTTTACTTGACAGCTTTCAAGATGATGACTGCTTAGGTTTGTTGTTCCGACTTTCGATACCAAAGTAACGGAATATTTGTGCTCGGGGTGGGTTTTTTTCTTCAGACAAACTTCGACTTTTTAACTAGCCATTTTGACGGAATTTTTTAATATCATTCAAAAGGTATTGTTGCCCTGAGCTCAAATTTGAAAAGATATTTTACCTGTGACATTTTTTCGTAAAGTGAAGGGGGTTTAAAGATTGCTCTTTTGGCCAATTTGGGATAATTAACGCCCGATATATTTCGCGCTATTAACGCGTAAGCGGAGATTTAATCATTCCTAGAAATCGTTCCAAATTGGTTGAAAGAAGCTTATATGCTATAATTGATTTGTTGCAAGGAGCGAAATTTATCATTTTGTTTTTTATATGGCGTTTGGGGGGATGTTTTTCATAAAAATATTTCAAATTTTAGAAAAATTTTTTTTTCATTTTATTTTATTACAATTAATTTTTTTTGTTGTTACTGCTCCATAAACCTCAAAAGGCAGTCGGAAAATTCAAGGCTTCGCCCTGATACGAGCAGTCTTGTTTGCTTATGCGACTGCTGATACACATAAACTGGACCAAACGAAAAAAAATTGAAAACTTCGAATGCGTGTTGCTCAAAACTGTGTTGACAGTAGGAAAAATGATCAAAACTAAGCACGCCTAGATTTATTCAGCAGTTTTAATATGCATCTTTTTTCTAAAATTATTGCTCAAACTTTTCCCTCGAAAATTCAACTCTGACTTTAAATTTTCAATCAAAAGTGAGCTTAAATTTATATCAAGGCAGTACTTTATATATGGCCAGATAAAATTTAAAAGTGGTATGATCTTCTTAGCTTTTTATGATTTAGATTTGTTTTGTTTGATGGCAAAAAACTTCATTTTAGTATTTAAAAAACCAGTTGTTATTTATTTGGATCATGTTTTTTCATATCAGTCCCATAAACGCTTTTAAAGTCTCCATTTTTTGTCCAAATTTAGAAATTGTATGTTGATTGTATTAAAACTCAAGAGTTACAATTACAACTGTGCATGGAATTATTTGACTTAATTTGCTGCCTCAGTTCAGTTTGGAACAATTTTGTAGTGCGGGGTAATTTGCCACGCGTGTAAATTATATAAAACGAACAGTTTATACAGTTCTATTGCATTTTACTATAGTGGTATGCCCACCCAAGTGGACCCATGCAGATCAGAGGGACGATTTGAAGGAGCAGAGTTTTGTAAAATTGGTCTGAAAAAACCACCCCAAGATTATATATTCTACCCTGTTTTCGAAAGTCGTAGCAATAAAATGAAAACTGTCTGTTTTGTTCAAGTCATCTCATTCCAACATGACTAAGAAAACGGAATATTTATCCTTGGTGTGGTTTTTTTTTGTCAATTTTCGACAATCGAAATAACAGTTATTAACAAAAAATTTTATGACCCTTTCAAGATATCGCCTCCTTGAAATCAAATTTAAAAAGATATTTTACCCCTGAGCAGTTTTGCAAAGTTTTTGGAGTTTGAAAAGTGCCAATTCGCCCATGCTCTGGTCTAATTTATGCGCACTTTGAAGATTTTTTTCATAGTCTTGAAAAAGTAACGCGATTTATTTAAGCGTGGCGCCACACAGCAAATCAAATTTGTTCCAAATTGAACTGAGGCCAGCAAACCGGTCCTAATAATTTCGTACGACAAAAAATTTAACACTTGTCCAAAACTTACAAATTTTCAAATCTTTTCTTTTCTCAAGAACTATTCGATATGGATTACGGGGCAATGGAAACATGCAGGGTTTTGCTTTGATATACGAGCAGTATTGTTTCAATTCAAACATTGAAACAATGAAAATTGACAACAAATCCAGTTCCAAAACTTGATTTAGCGAAAGGAAAGTTTTAGCGAAAGGCAGTTT